TTCGTGGAGATTGGGTCTTCCACAAACAAGTGTTTGGATTCAGGAGCAGTTGGAAGGCGGGCGTGAAGGAGTCTGTGTGCTTCAAGTGTGATGCTCGAGGAACAGGAAATCCCCAATGCCAATACTACCATGTCGACGAGAACGCCCCATGTTGGTCCAACCAGCATGACACGCTCCAGTTTTTGGCACGGGAGATGCCTGATGCTGATGTTTGCCCCTTGCCAGAATCAGGGAGAAAATGTGAAAGTACTCCAGCTTCAACATATGAGTACAGCAATTTGTTCGGCACATGCCCATGATCTGTGCACTGTGCATGCTGTTTCCTGCAGTTGTGGTCAATGATTTGTGGTTGCCTGCTGAGGCCCCCTCATTTTGTTGAGGAACTTTCACCCTGATCTTATAAAGTTTTGCTCGATGCATGTATTGAACTTGGGAGTTTGCTACGGAGCGAATGGATCAACACTGATCCCCGATTGAACTGGAAAGTGTAAAATGGAGAGTAGTATCGCGAGTGCTGTGAACAAATCCTAGATCATCCAGAATCTCCAAGATCCAAGGATGACTCTTATCGAGGCAAATTTCTTCGGTGACAGTGGGCAACAATCGCTGCAGCAACTTTTGGACGTGGCCTATAGGCACTTCAAGAACTTCATGTCTGACCGCAGGATCCCTTGTGGGCAAGGCCCTTTTACTGAGAAAATGGTGCCTCGCCTCAATTGTGAGGCTGTGTGTCTGTTGTGGAATAAACTTGTTGCTTCTGGCTTGCTTGGCAATTCCATGTTCTGATTTAGTTTTGCGTGCCAGTGCAAAATGGTTGGGCCAACTAAGCTGGTCAAATCTGATGGAGAAGTCGCTTTCACTGTGAAAGCCTTCAATGGGAGATGCGTGTCGGAGTGGCTTGCACATTGTGCAGAGAAAGCTTACATCGATGGCTTAGCTCGTGTGGACAGCCGCATTCCGTTCACCTATGTAGCGATGATTTTTGCTGGCACAAGTGCACATGTGTGAGTGTGGTGTTTGTGCAAGTCTCTGTTAGTTGTGTTTGCTTGTATAGCAGGGTTACTGGTGCCAAGGAACTCATTAGCACGATACTTCTCCCTGATGGAACGGTATCCAAGGTTCTTGTGGCGAGGCTGCAGTCCAGTGTTGATTGGTACTTGTACTCAACAAGACAATTTGGCAACGAACACTAGTCCGGTAATATTTTTCTTCAGCCGGTTTCAGGAATCAGTCCCAATCCGAGAAGCTTTACGCTTGTGGAAATCGCTTTACAAAAACTCACCTTGTGCTGGCAACAATGAGCTTCAGGTTGGAACTGTGTTTGCTGGGTTGTGCTAGCTTGGGTAATACAGCTCAAAAGTGGCACGGTTTTGGCAGGATGAACAAAAGACATTGGATAATAAAACCCAAGGTACATGTCTCTTGGCTAAGAAATTTAGAAAGTACATTGCATATGTTTTGCTGTGTGCACAGGTGCATGGGTATGCACCCCACTGATCCTGTTAGAATGCCACCAGGCATTTGGACATCACCTATTGGAGATTCGACGGTACAGACCCTTGACCAAGACTTGACTAGATTCCTGTGGTTGAAGTGCCAAACTTGGTGCTTCTGGATCCCTGCAGCCCAGGAACGTCGCCAAGATTTACACACTGCTTTGCAGATGAGGACTCCATGGCCCTCTTGAAACGTGCCTTGTTTGTATCTGATTGTGCTAGGTTTCTAGAGCTTCTAGCCCAAATAACTGGTGCCGCTCCGCAATTGAAACTTTTGGGGGTCAACATATGTGCACATCTGAGGGACATATCTTCGTGCCCCAGTTGCCCGCCGACGACGATGGATTCTCCGAAATGCGATGTTCAGGCCATGTTGTGTGGTTTAAAGGGATCACATGCATACGGCAAATTGCATTGAAGGATCTGGTCTATGAAATGGAAGATCCAAGAGATTCTTGGTTAGAATGTCCTGTCGTACATTTTAACATTGAGATGATGAACTGTTAAGTTGAGCTGCTGTTCCTAGACAGGTCCCCTTTCTGATCATTCGAATGTGACATCTAAGGCTAAATAGCTCAGCGAGGAAGCGGATGGTCATCAAAAGTTGAAAAGGGGGATTGAGCGTGGGCGGGCGTGGGCAGCGAAAGAAAGGTCTTTCGTATAAAGACTGTTGATAGAACGGTCTTTTGAAGATCAGGGTAGAGACAAGTAAAGTACAATCTCTAAAAGTGAAGAACTTTCATACGAATGAATTTGTTATGAACAAGTTCAAGGAGTACTTTGGTTCATAGATAAGGTTCAGTGTTACAAAGTGCATTGGTTTAAGCTCCTGTGAATGCATACAGTATAGTCCTGACGCATAATATCAATAACACATGATTATACAACATTGTGTTTGACATTGAAACCCTTGAAATCGCCTTTTTCACAGCCCGCTGTTTGAGGATGTTTGGGGTTGAACCTTGAAAAGATTGGTGAGTAGGAAGTGGCATAATATATGTGTTGTGTTCTCCAGCAGATACCCCGACACTGGGCAATGTTTGATGTTTGTTCCACCCCAGACGCTTCATGAACCCACGCTTGGCCGTCCCTTGGTTGGCCATTCCATGCCATTGAATTGGTCAGCGACTCCTTGTGTTCCCCGCGACTCCAAGTGTGCTTTCATGTATGCACCCAATCTATGCAAATGTTGTGATGCATAGCAACATTTGCCTTAATACATGTTTAAGCATTAGCAAGATTGTTGTCATGCTACATTGCTGTTGGAGGCCGTTGCTATTAGGTTGGACACCATTGCTTTTAGGTTGGCGGCCATCGCTACTACTTGTAGGTTGGAGGCGACTGCTATCCAGAGGTGTGTCAGAACCCTAGTTCGACTATCCCAGTTGGGTACCCCAGTAAGGTCCCAGTTCAGGTCACTGGATACCTCTCTTGGATTAGGTTGGAGGCCCAGTGGAGGTCAATTTGGTCACAGTTTGGTCAACTCGCCATCTGGGCTGCCACTCCCTGGGGCTGATCCGTTCACCGCGAAACAGGGCTACAAGCTAGTGGTGGCTTACAGACCCCTCTGAAGAGGTATTTTCCATCCTGTTTTTTCCAACAGTGTGCCCACACTAGGGGTTCTTACGAGTTTAGGACGGGTGCCTGATCGGAGGTGCTCGCATCCGTGTCCGGCTAGTTCGCTGCTATTTACAGTACACTCATTCACCTCGTAATTTTCGAAGCGCATTTCGACTGCACAAGCTCGCAGAATCTGATGGGCTGGCGCGGGTGCTCGGATTTTGTGGCAGGTGCAGTGAAGCGTGACTTTTGGGCGTGAAGAAATCGGAGGACATCTCGAGCGAAAGCTGCGCTTTGGCATCTTGATGTTGTCTTGGGATGTGCTCTTAATTACTGCGAATCGCCTTGGCAAGGGCTGCGTGATCTGAATCTTGATGTGCAGTTTTCGTGGCAGACGCAGCACTTTGTGGACCGTGAAGTGCAGATTTCGTGGCAGGCACAGCACTTTGTGGACCTTGACATGTGGATTTCGTGGCAGGGGCAGTGCTTTGTGGACCTTGAAGTGCAGATCCCAGGGCAGGCGCAGCACTTTGCGCAGACTTCGTGGCAGGCGTAGTACTTTGTGGACCTTGAAGGGCAGATTGCGTGGCAGACGCAGCACTTTGTGGACCTCGACGTGTGGATTTCGTGGCAGACGCAGTACTTTTGTGGACCTTGAAGTGCGGCAGGTGCAGTACTTTGTGGACCTTGGCGCAGATTTTCTAACAGGCGCTGTACTTTGTGGACCTCTATAAGTGTAGATTTCCTGGCCGGCGCTACCTGCCCTGCCACCACCACCATCATCATCACCAACACCACAACAGGTCACGACCAAGATCCAATAATGCAGTTCCAAGCTGTTAGATCTGAAAGTGTGGAAAAGCAAGGTCCAGTCCACCACCATGACCTACTGTAGTACCAGTTTGAGCCATGGTCAAAAATATAGCAGCAAGGGCTTAAGGTCAGACGAACTCGAGAATGACTACATGGCGGAACTCAAGTCGCGACACAATGAGATCGAGGCTGTGGAGCTTGAGCTTGGGTCGCCGGGACATGGTGAAACTCTGTGCGCCGGAGGTTGCTTTTGATGATGTGGATGCTGGTCTCCCAAATGACCCTGTGCTCTTGGCCAAGAAAATTGGCTGTGCTCAAAGTTTCTCAGCCGACCTTCAACTGTTCTGTAAAAATCATTCTCAACCGCCTAAACGCCATTGGCAACATGCAAAGGGAGGGGAAACCACCCCCACTTCCCACTGAATTGGAAGGCAAAGGAAACCTTGCGAGCCCCGCATGTCTATGTGTTCAGCCATGGCTTTTGAAAAAACGCAGCTGCATACCTTCTCAGCTTCATACGCAACAATCAAGCTGGGTCATCCAGCCTGCCTTTGCCGACCATCACTTTTGTGCTGGAAGGTCGGGATTTTTTGCCCAGTGCTCTCACTGCTGGACTGACCTGGAAGATCCTGGAAGGACTTTGTCCCAGATGGTGCCACCGTGCCACCCCATTCTTTCCACAACGGAAGCTTCAAGGTCAAGGGTGAAGATCACCACCATCCTCATCACCGCCATCGCCACCACCACCGTCGTCACCACCTTCACCACCATTACGATCACCACTATCTTCATCACCTTTCCACCACCATCACCACCTTCACCACCGCCATCATCACCACCACCATCATTCACCACCACCATCCACCACCATCACCACGACCATCACCACGATCTCCACCCTCATCACCACCATAACCTCTCTTTATCTCTAGACCTTTTGTTTCTACACCTCTAGACCTTGGGCAAACACACTGTTCGGGGTCTCTTGCCAGGATTTAGTTTTAGAGGGTCCAGTCCTATCCCATTATGATGTTTTCAAGTTGGGTCCAGGTTCGTCCACACGTCGCCTCAACATGCCTCAGCCCCAAAATGATGCGTCTGACGGACGTATCCTCCGGTCGCCCCACACAGGTGGGTGATTTTTGCCCCTTCGTGAGTTCATGCAGCCGTGCCTTGGAGGGGTGGAGTTTGCATCAATGCAAAAAAAGAAAACATAGTCTTCATATCACCCCCGCGTGACTTCAAGAGTCGGCCAATGTTCTAGTTTTCTGGTTTTTTGGACACCTCTAAAACCTCTAAGAGGCTATTTATAGACACTTGGAGGGTCCTGATACCTGTTTGTTTCATGCATCTCCATCGCCCTCAGTCCAGCTTCCTTCAATGGAAGGGCCTATGCCGTGGAGAGGACGACCAGGCAGTGTCAAACCCTGATGCACAAATTCTAGAGGAACGGCTTAAACCGCCATTCACAATCGATTCACTGTAGATGGTGGAAAACCACTGAAACTCGGGGTGGAAACCACACAAATGTCGGATTTGTGAGGCTGGGCGGCTGGAACTTCAACCCAATGTGTTTCCATCCCGATGAACACTTCGGACCTGCTGGGTGAACCTGCTGCGCTGGGTCGACCGCAGCTCCAAAGACCCCCGCTTGGCTGAAAGACCAAAACAGGCGTCGCAGTGCACAGATCAGTAGAAACACCTCATGACGAAGAACCTCCTCTTGGTGCCACAACTCCCTGCCACCGGGTGTTGGGTGTTTTTGTGGCTTCCAGTTTCGTTTCGATTGCGCCGGTTCCGGGGTTTCCGGATCACTGGATCACACTCCGCCGAGGTTTCTTCAAAGATCACTGGCACACCTGGACACCACCGGGAGTTGAAGACCTCACACACCGCTGGTGCGAGCATCTCGGAACGCCGAGGATTCGGTAATAATGGACAGGTTCGCAGAATCGTCGGCGCTGGGGGCAATCAAACGGGAGGCTAGTGGTGTGTTCGTTGGGTTGGGGAGTCCGAATGGTTTTTTGATACACCACGGCATGTTGAAGGCTGAACTTGCCGTGAACTTGAATCGATGCCCAGTGATGACTTGCGTTCAGTTATTGGATGATTGATCAGCTGCGTTGGCCTTTTACAGGCCCAAGTGTGCAGCGTCCAGAACTCCCAAGTAAAGAATGAATAGGGCTATGAAACTAACGTAGTCTTTGCGAAAGAAAAACTGAGGATTGCGAAAGCTTGCGAAAGCATTGAGCGAAAGAGTCCTTGAGAAGTAATGTCGCGTAAGCTCTGCGAAAAAGTATTTTCCTACTGCTTGAGAGCCTACGATGTTTGGTGAAAAAGGTTGCACACATTTGCTTCAACCAATCCGCCGCGTAAGCGCCGCGCAAGTGTTTTTCAAATACACCTTCTGCGCGAAAGATAAAACTGCAGTCGCGTAAGTGCTGCGTAAGCTTATGCAAAAGACTTGTGTTAGTAGAAAGGAATCTAACTTTGGTTTTGAACACCGCTCAAGTGACCTCAAACTGTGATATCAAAAGCTCACTTTGAAGAACCAGCTTCATTTTTTCAATGAGTATATCCTACCAGGGCAACCCGAAAACCTAGGTGAAGTATTGAGAATCTCCCCTTGAAGGCATTGACCGACCCTATCTCCACCTGACCTTGGGGGTTCCGGTTGTTTGTCCGCCCAGGTTCTATGGCTCCATTTTTGAGCAGGATCCGATCCATCAGCGACTCGAAAGCACTGGAAGATCGATCGGGACGAGGTTTTGGGGTCCGCTGAATGCATCGTAACCAGTCGGTTTTTGGAGTGTGGTTGGTGGCAGGACCTGCGTTGAGGGGATTCTCTGGGGGGTTAGCCGGACCAGGTCGACTGTGACATGGCCGACCGTTTGTGACGTGGGACTAGACAGAGTCACTTCTACAAGCGAAAACCTGTGCCGGACTGAGTGCATGAGGATCCAATCAGCACTGAGGATTTAGGCAGGCAAAGAGTTCGCCCACTCAAAAGAGCGGAAAATGTCTGCAAAATCTTTCTGCAGCACCCTTTGGGGTTGGTTGGGCAACCAAGACTAAGAACAGCTGGAAACGGCTAGGTGACATTAAACACTGTGAGGCACTGTGAGGGAGTTGATTTGGGGAGTCAATAGTAGCCTGAGTAGCCCACCCTCAGAAAGGGATTGCTTTTACGAAGCCCACACACCACCCAAACTGGATAGCTACAAGCACAGCTACCAGGCATGGGGGCACGCACCGGGGCAACCGGCTCTTAAGGGCTACAGCTGCTCACACGCACTCCCCCCACTCTGCGGCTCAAGTAAGCAGAGTGCATTGTGTCCACACCACTGGGCCGTCGGGCATAAGCCACCGCACCGACTGTTAGGCACCCAGCCACATGAATTGAACATGCATCGCATGCCGCTGTAGCTTGCCACACCCTGCACACCGCAGTAGCTGTCATGCCTTCACCGAGTACCGCCCATCTGCACGTCGCATGCCATGTGCCGCCCACGAGCTTGTCACACGCCGATGATTCCATCCAAGAACATCCACACAAGCGTTATGTTGGGCTCATAACCTACGAAACATCTGTCTATGCCCACACACCACCCAAACTGGATAGCTACAAGCACAGCTACCAGGCATGGGGGCACGCACCGGGGCAACCGGCTCTTAAGGGCTACAGCTGCTCACACGCAGAATGGGATTGTTGTGATTGGGACGTGTCCCAGCCATGCGCTTTCATTTTCGCTCAGCATATGCCTTCTGGGTTTGGGACACTTCACTTCACTTCACTTCGCCTTCGGAGCTCCATCACTGCCGCACCTGAGTGAAACTTAGCTCCACGGCGAGGGTTTGGGACACTTCCTCAATTCATTTCTTCGCAGTGTTTAGAAGTGCCCACAAAGCTGAGGCTGGCGCAATTCTACCGCTTGCACTTCGGAGTCATTGGAGCGATTGGGGGTGGGAAGGGTAGAAGTGATGCAATAGCTTCGATGCGTTGGAAGGTTAGAGGGACGATTTGCAGCGAAAATGGTTCCGTGAGCCTGTGCAACTGAGGCAAGTCAGTTGCTGCAAGCATATTTTTTGTGCTGCTGCTCACCTCTTACCTTACTATATGTAGGGAATGTGCAGAAAATCGTTCGTGGACCCGACCCTGGCACCGACCGCCTATGTCAAAGTGTCGAACACAGAAAACCGTACCATTCGGAGTTCCGGGGTGGCATTGAATCCATGGGGCTGCCGTACTTCCGCTGTCAACAATTCGGACTTGCCAGACCCTGGAGCTGGGGGCGATGGGGCATGTGCACTTAGACCCCGTGGGGACCTGTCAGCCAGCCTTCCTGGGAATCGATAACCAGCCGTCACGGTTGTCCAGACGCTTTGGTTGTCCGTGTCTCCCCCATTGGCCTCGAGTTCCCTTAAGTTCCCTCGCGCCAGGAGCTGTGAGTCGATTACACCGGATCAATCATCAAGCGCAGGAGCACCTGGGCCTGGGAGGAGGCACGGAAAGGTGTCGTCTTCAGGCAGTGTCCAGGCTTCCAGGCAGTGGTGTGTTTGTGTGTGTGTGTGTCGGAGCATGTGAGGATCAAGGAGTTTCATGTTCGGATGTTCGAGTCAAAAGCTGTGGTGTGAACAAAGAGCAATCCACTCCAACTGGTAGCTGGACCTTGACATGCACTGAACCCACCTATATATCACCTACCCAGTGAGTGGAGTTACCACCTATAGCTGGTAGTCCCAATGGTTTCAACATGTTTCAACCAAAATATATTAAAACCATAGACAGGACGGTCGCGCCCCTGGTTCCTTTGATCTTTGATCCTGGGTCCCACCTCACCAGCCTTATTTTCGGATACCCCACCGGCTCGGCAATGGGGACTGCCCCCCACTCGCTTGGAATTGGCTCGGCTGGCCGACCCTGGTCCTTGGCCCCCCAGGAGTGGATGCTTCAGATGGAAGGCATGGGGCATGGGAGCAGAAATTCGAGGGGCCACAGACTGTTGGCGAATGTTCGACTCCTTTGGAAGTGACTGCGGTGGTATGAAGTTCTTGTTGACCCTGGCGGCCCTGACGCGACGCCCAGCTCGCAATCCCGCAAGCCAGACTGAAACCTCAGACCCCTTTTTTCCGAGGATTCGGGACCGAAGGTCTCCAGAGGATTTGGGTCCAGGAGCGTTTGGGGAATGCATTTCACACGTTGTGAATATCTCTATAGTTTGGAGTTGGAGTTCGGAATGGTGATTTGAATTGGGGGTGTGTAGTCTTGTTGGGAATGGTTTTGAACTACGGATCACCAGTGGTGATCACCAGTGGACCACCAAGTGGTTTTGCTCCAGCTTTCAGCTTGGGCGGCGTCCAGCTGGAGGGACAAGTACACGTTGAGAAAGCCTTATTATTGAACATCCCTTGGGATCCAAGTACTTTCTCAGAAGGCACCTGGACCCTCCTGGCACCCACCCCAGTCCCACCTTCTGAGAAGGTACTTGGATCCGTAGGGATCGTTCACAGACTGGGTACCGGAGTTAATGTCGTGCCTGTCTCGGTGACTAAACCTGCGCCCCCAGGTGACTTTCCACCCCAGCACATGTATGACCCCCCAGTTTTGCTGATGGTGTGCATTGGTGCACCCATCAAGTCATTTCTTGCAACAATTATACTTTACTACTCCGAGTATCATCGAGTATCAGCATTTGTGCCAGAACAAGATCAGAGGGCTTTGGCATTTGGCTGTGTACAATGGACCCCTATGTCGCAACCTGGTCTTGCGACACAGTGCTTGTCAGGCCAACGCTTGGTTTTTCTCTTCCCGCCGGAGGACACGGAGAATATCTACGAGCTCGTAGGTGTGCAGACAGCGGTTTGGACTTCGACTATAAGCGGATTCATTACTGCACATCAATGACCTGTTGACACTTTGAGTGATTCACCTGGCACATGGAGGTATTGCTCAGCACCTATGAGCATACCATAAACATCCATAAACCCTTGCCTTCAAAGGCCATACAAAAAGAGAGGTTGACCTGGTTTTGGTAGTAATAGTAAAACAAATCCATGGAATCTTGCGACCCACGCAGGGAGTCGCGCAGCCAAGCGCAAAGGCAAGTCACACCCAGACACTGCATGTACAGCATCTATTTATATTCCTACATTGGAGTGGTTTCAGAGGTCAATATCGGCATTTGTTACAGACATGGAGTGAATTGGCCATCACCCGAAACACCCCCCGCCGGGTCTCCGCGCCGTTATACCAGGCGGCTTGGACGAACACCGCTCCGATGGGAGCTTCGGGTATGCCACGCACATCAGCGAGGTGAACCTCTTCTTCCCCAGCTCGTGTCTTGGTGAGGTTCCCGTTCGGGCTCCTGGCCTACTTCCGTTTCGAAGATGGTTCTGGTGGGTGCCTAACCACCGAACCTGAGGGTATGGGTGAAGTCGCCCTAACGGGCTTGTACGTTGGGGAGTGATCTCGGAGTTCCAGGTCTCCGGAGAACGCAGATGAGGGTATAACGTCTACCGTCTACACCAGCGAAGCGAACACTCGGTGACGTTTACAAGTGCCAGTGACCGAACTTAGTTCGGCCGAAACTCGTGGCCGAAGCATCTGTGATATCAAGAGCGAACACGAATTGAAGAACCACAGGTACCAGGTGCTTCCAACGGGTCACCAGGTGCTACCACCCTACCGGTCTCCATGCCCAGGGCACCCAGACAGGAAGTGCTAGGTACGTGTGTTTTGGTTTGTGAAAAATGGGTGCATGTCAGATGTTCAACAGCACCCGACGGAGGGTCCGCCCGATCTCGTGGGCCCGGTTCAGGAACGTGTTGATGTCGAAAGCTGGGCGGCGAGGGAGGCCGTTGCTATTAGGTTGGAGGCCATGGTTATTCAGTTGAGGTCATGATGTCAGGTCCTTACATGTCACTACTATATAGTCCTCTGAGGAGGGGTGGCCGTTTGATCACAGAAGGTGAAAGCAATGCTTTATAATGCTTTATATAGCTGTTTCTAAATGAAACAGATTACATAATACGTATATACCCTAGGGCTCCAAGTACCTCCTCAGAAGGTATTTGGACTCTAAACCCACCTCAAACACCTTCTTAGAAGGTACTTGGAGCCCTAGGGATATTTTTGATTTTTGTGCTGTAATCCATAGTAATGCCATCCGAAGATGTAGGACCGCAGCCAGAGAATCATGACAACTTGTGCTTACATTGTCCACTTGGCATCACTTGGCCATATATAGTTTAGATCTCAAAAAGGGCGGAGTAACTCAAAGCCGGACATGATGAGTCAACACACGGTCAACAGACCAACAGCAACCGTGTGGGTCACAAATGATCCATGGAATGGGGGGCTAGCGTGACACGTGCTAAGCGTGACAGGCTTTCTGCATCACCACTGCAGAGTCACTTGAGCCCCGAAGACGGTGGACTGGTGGATCCATCGCCCGAAGATGCTTTCTCAGGTCCAGGAACCTCTCCAATCTCCGGTCGGTCCCTGGAACCCGAATGTTCGACCCTTAAGCTTTTACTGGGTCTTTGGACTTGCAGGGTCTATATTCTATACACCGTCCATAGTAGTGACAGCCCAAGCCGCCAATCTTGTTCTGGCTTGGAGCTATGTAGGCATGAGCCGTCAACAAAAAGATGGGAATCAGGAAATGTCTATATTCTATACACATGATTTACACCCCTTTTGACTCTATTTAGTAAGGTCACTCCCTAGGGATCCAAGTACCTTCTCAGAAGGTGATTGGAGACAGTGTTATGTAGGTTTGGGGGGTCCAAGTACTTTCTGAGGAGGTACTTGGATTTCTAGGGACTATAATAATTTATTCCACATGGATGCTTCAGAGATATGTCACCTGCAAAAAAAGAAAACAAAAGAACGGTAGTCCACACTTCCAACCTCTTTGATGCTACTGCTTGCTGCCTTAAACCTTCGTGCTCATAGTAGCTCTTCCTTCACCTGTACCTTCACCACCACCCGCTCACACCGCACAGAACAGGAAGCGTCATCCGCTCTTCTCGAAGTGCAATGCGCTGGTGTCCCTCCTTGGCGAAGGCAAGACCTTGGTGTTCCCCGGCCACGACTGGCAGGATCGGAACGAGACGGTCCCACCGCACCGGTGGAACCGTCTACCAGTCGACTGGGTTTTTCCAGCGAAGCATCGAACGAATCGAAGAAATGGTACGTATTGAAGAATTGAATATGATGCTTTTGGTATATTTGTTGGTCATGTTTCGTTTGGTCATGTTTTGATCTGCATTACAGGCCTTCACGACTGAGACACTCAGGGCAAACACACATGCATGACAACACACATGGGTGGGGGGCCCCATTGAAATGACTCCTTTATATACATGTAGTGATTGAGTGATTGAGTTCAAATCACAATGATTTTGTTTATCGCCAACATATGGGTTCTGCGCCATGTGTACTCTGGCACAACGGAGTCCAGTGTTCCAAAGGCCCAAAACTCAAGCCAAAGATTGAGTTTCACAGCCCTACATAAAAGTTACCCCCCAAAACATACTGTTGATGGACAAAATCCTGCACCACTTTGTGCACAGTTTTCTTGCTGCCCTCGTTCTCCCTCGTTAACATTGGGGCCACCACAGTGAGAAAACACAAACAAGTTGAGGGTCCAAAATCCTGCACCACCTCCTCAGAGGGTTCGCGCCAATATTGAACGAGGGGGCGCGGGGGTTGCTATGCGACCCTTCCAGGGTAAAGTGTTGAGGTGGTGCAGGATTTTGTCCATCAACAGTATAGGAACCATCACCAGGACACTACTGCATGCAGACAAATAATTTGAAGGTTCGAAAGTTTTCCCACTGCACCAGAAAGGCCTTCACGCATCTTCACTCCCTGAGCCATACCGAAATGCTCCATGTAGGTCAAATCAATGTTCACTACTTAAATTTTATAGACCCACCCCAATGCGGGTCATCTTCGCTTCCATGGAGTGGACTGAGGATTCCCTCGGGCTGGTGGTGGACTGCCATTAGCACGCAGCCCTCCGTGACGCTGCACCACACCTATTGGAGCTTTGAGAATCGGCTTCTTCGGCCGCAGAGGGAGGGGCCTACCGGCCCAAAATGTTTCTCGAGTCTGGTGATGTCCAAGAACACGGCAAGGGCCAGATGGAAGCTGGATTTGGATGGGGTCAGTGTGAATGCTGTGTGAATGAAGATGTTTTGCTTTCTTGTTTGCTGCTCTTTACTGACCTGTTTGTTCATGCGACTTGTTTTGGCGCAGCTCAGTGCCTCGTTTGGCACCAAAGCATGATTATGATCTGCTCGGCGGCTCGACAGAACATGGTTAATCTCCCAGCACCTTCTGAAATCGCGGCTCTCCTGGCTGGAACACCCTCCCGTTTGGGCTTTTGGCCTGCCTCCGTTTCGATCGGGCTGGTTGGGGGTGGAGGCTGCCATTGGGGTTCTCAGTATGCCTTCTGTTCGGATGTGGCACTGGAGCCAGGTTGACGGGACCCTACACGAACACAGCGTGGCTCCACATGTGGCTCCATACTTGTCGCCGGTCGAACGTCGTGTCGACACAGTGGGTCGACACGTTCGTCCGAAGCTCGTGGGTCGAACACCGTGGTGCGAAGCAGGTTAGGCTTCGTGGACGCCTTATGGGCACCCTTCGAGTCCCAGCAGACCTCCGTGGACGTCCGGATCTGAGCTCGGAGAGGAGAGGAGGATCTGAACAGTCCGAAAGTGAAGGAGGTTCATTAAACAGGTAGCTACTAGATGCTGCTAGTAAGGGCATCGCTACGAACGGAGCAAGAAGCTACGAACGTAGCTCCTGGCATAGCTACTATATATAGGTACTAGTAACAAGCGCAGTACTATTGAAGGATATGTCAGACGCTCCATGTATGTGTAATCTGTGCCGCCCCAGAAAGATTCCTGACATCAAGCACCCCTGGCCTGATCGGCCTATCTCATGGATGGTCTGGGGTTTTGAACCTCAACGAGTTTGACAACTAACATCCGGGGTGAAATATCACAAGTTCTGAATTTACCACCCGCAGCAGTTTAGCGTTTCATTGCAATCCAAAGAGCCAGGGCTCAAGGATGAACAACATACACTCAATTCAAAGTCTCCCAAAGAATCCAAAAGTTTTGTGACATGTTTTGACACCGCTCGCCCGTGTTTTTGACTAGAATTACTTAAACGATCTTAAACCATCGTTCTCAAAGTAGGAGGCTTCCTGTGCTTCAACTGCGCCGATCTCCTCGCTCTTTGTCCCACATCCACCAAACTCCACTCACATAACTTGTGGACATCGCAGACATGGCTATACACCATCCTACACTGCTATACACTTTCTGTGTCTTTCTTCAACACTTTTTGGCCTCTTTCAGGGTCTCTCCAGAGGTGCCTCTGAACCTGGGCGTCCAAATCATCTCCCAAAACCGCTCTGCCATCTCACCCCATCTGCCCGCTCTCCGCCTCGTTCGGTAAGCCGGCCGTGACCGGCCGTGACCGGCTTCAGTGCTTGGCGAGGTCCGGAACGCCATGCGCCGCCGAGGTCCGGAACGCCATGCGCCCGGCCTTCACCGAACTCCGTGAGCTCATCCTCCGCGACGATGGACCGACCGTTCACCGGGGACGGTTTAGACGTGGGTGCGGTGGGTTCGGAGGTGACCCGGGGGTGGTTTTCAGTGGATTTCAGCCGGCATGCCGCTGGTTTCAGTTGATACTCCCAAAGTCTTAAACCGTAGACCGGACGACTATGAACCAGGGGCCATGTCAGGCCCCTGGTTCCTGACTACTAGTGGCAACTGGGATCCACTGAATTGGTTTATTTGTTTATGTGGATTGGATGTGTTAGTGCGCCGAGTTCATCCGACGGTTTGGAGAAGGGATCCACACTCCATGCGTTGAAATACATTTGGTATGCATGCATTCACCCCCTTTTCAACCACCCCAATGTAGAAACATGTGCCATTTATATACATCCATTTACATAGCATGTGTTTGAAGTGGACTGCTTCGTGTTCAGTGGACGGCTTCCATCCATCCAAAGCCCTCCAAGCCTTGAGCTCACGCGGCTCGTCTGGGACGGGGATGGATCGTGGACCCTGCATGACTGGTGTAGCCAGGGGGTGATGAATGGGACTGGCCGTACTTGCCTGATGTAGACTCTTGATTAATAACCCCGTTTAGCCTCCAGTCGTACCGAACCTCAGGGTCCAGTCATACCGAAACTGAGGAGGTACTTGGATCCCTAATAACCCCAGCCAATTGAATTGAACAACCTCCTTACATGGGGGGCTTTAATCCAGAGATATCCAGAGTCTACATTGCATGGAGCATTTGGGTATTGAAGCTAGTGTAAGTATTGTCGAATTGGTGTAGTATACATCATGCTGCAATATCTAACCCAGAGGGTGTTGTTTGCGCCCTCTTGGAACAAAGATCCGATTGGGCGCCAACGACCTCGTGATTGGGGTGGGCAGACTCCTCGTTCCTTGTGAGGAGGGCAGACCTGGAATCTCTATTTACTGGTGTTTGTTTGGTGGGCAGACCTGGATTTCCGAAAACATGCTAATTTGTTGTGTGCGTGTACCAAAATTCACAGGTGCCAAAGCAGACATCATCAGATATGCATGTACACATGTTGTGGGCCTTTTTGGTCTAGGTATGTGGAGACCTTGGCCACCTGGGGATTCCAGTTAAACCAGAACAACATTTGGCACCCGTTAGACCTTTGGGTAGCGGAAAAAGGTAGACATAGACATGTGTAGATGGACAGATAGACATGCAAGGTCCAGGCACAATTTTCGGGTTCTCCCAATTCCAAGACATGTCCATTTGTTTATTTGTGCCTTGGGCAAAACAGCTGGACCCGATGCTCCTACAGTAGATGCTCCTGGACCCGATTGCGGAGACATTGAGTCCCTCTTTTGGAGGGGTCTGAGGTCGAACCAATCCCTAGGTCTTTGAGGGGTTGGGCTGTTTGGAGCCAAACATCGACCACTCCAGGAAAGCGTGACGTGGAGGATTGCGTGGTGGGCAGCAGTTAGGACGGGGGCCATGGCCATCTTTTGAGTGCTGAAGTGAACATTCAATTACAAACCGGTCTTCAATATCTGTGCGTGCATGAGTATACACATATAATATTGCTGCTAGTACAAAAGAAGCAGAATTGCAAGATTTGTTAATGTATGTTATATATTATATACAGAGAGAGAGAGAGAGAGAACAAGACTGATGACTGGGAGACACTGGTCCACGGTTCTGTTTGGGTACGTCCTGAGGGTGGTCTTTGAGGCTCAAATTACTTCCTTAGCATGGTCGAACTCGTTTACTCGAAACGGATGCTCCTGGAGCCTTTGGGACATGGAGTGTTTAGGGTGAGGGAGTGACTCCAGCCTGGTTGGTTTTTCCTCTGGCTTTTCATCCATTGTACATCCTTTTGGAGGATAGAAGGGTTTCCTTGAGCACATCCAAGTCAGGGCCCGGTCCGGATGTGCTCTCGGATCGGTCATGGTTTCTCTCCCAGGCGGCCTGCGTGGCCGTGGCCGTGGCCTGCGTGGCGACGGAAAAGAGCGCGTGATGGCGCTCCAGCGCCAGAGCCAGGAGTCGTTTGATATCACTTGATCAAAACTTTCAGGAGTGTCCTTGAAACAAATGGGCTTCATTATTTGAGCGAGATGTAGGAATTACATCTTATACGGTTACTATGATTTGTTCGTATGGTTGTGTCAATGATGGTTTATACATTTTTAATGTTATACTGTACTATATCATGCAAACTGGTTTCCTGGTTTCCAAAGACATCCGAAGGCAGGAACTGACCCGAGTCCTTCATCCCTGCAAGCGGGATACAGCGGGATACATTTGGGATAGTCTCAAGCGGCGCATATGGTTTAATTATAGATGTTGAGAGTATACCTAGATCGACTCTCCATCGGAACATTGGGGTCAAGTCAAGTACCTAGTCACTATGTTTAGTACGTAGGATGGTGTTCCATGGTGTTCCGGGTATTTGAACGTCACGGCTTTTTGGGTCGATGAAGTTCCCGCCTGTTTGAACTGATTCCGGCAGTGGATTGATAGGTTTGGGGATGTTTGGGGGCAAGAGGACCAAAAAGATATCCCATGCAGTGGATCCCGGGCAGCAGGGTTTAGGGTTTAGGGTTTAGGCAGGCAGCAGTAGGAAGGAACCAGTTTGTTTTAGGTCGGTCTTTTTCGTTGGAACCACCACCTACATCGGGGTTTGCCTGGATCCGCCGGGAAGCTGGGGTCAATCGATGGAACTGGCAGCCGAGACAGATGGGTTGCGGTAGTTGATGCAACAGCGAGTCAATGTAGGCGAGTCACTTCCTGTCCCGTGGAGTCTTCCAGGGAGTTTCCAATCCGTTTTGACAAGCCGATCGAGGACAGGAAGAACTCACAGACTGGATCCTATTGGAGAGCACTGACTTATGGGAATCCCTATGACATCCTATGACCATTTGGAACCCTATATCGTGAGTCTCGTGGGTGGATTTGGAGCCCTGTACTGTTGAAGAATGAACGTCTGTAAAGGGGAATGACCACGGGATTGAAAAGAGGTTTTGGCAGCTTGTGCAGGAAATTTGTTCCCATCTTGATCCCAGCTACCCACCGAACTTCGTGTTGGTTTCTGAGAACCGACCCTGAAAACCCCTACCACTCCCCCCCCAGGCTGGAGAACGGTCGTGCGCCCACCGAACGGCTCCCCGGTCAGGTGGATCGTTCGCCCGCGCTTCACCTCCGCGCTGCGTCGTGAACCGCCGCTTCCCCCGCGACCTGGATGGGCGGTCCTGGGCGGACCTGAGTCTCGGAACGTGAGCGAACCAGCCACTGGGACTGTTGAGCTGACGCCAGCCACTGGGATCTCGTTTGAAAAGGTCACAAAGTCATACAAAGTCCAAGAACCGTCGTTTTACTCACCATGATTGGACTATACAAGACCATCGAACTCTTGAATACGTGGTGTGAACGGTGGCGATGGGTCTCGACCAGTCAACCGGGTTGCATCCCCATTCTTCAGATGGATCTATCATGGGCAAACCATGTATGTTCTATACCTTTTTCTGAGCTTTTTGGACACGAACTCATTCAACTCATTGGATCGCATTTGCTTCTTTTTGTCTCTACACCGAAGTCACGTACGTGGTTCGCTCCCCTCACTGATGCTTTTGGACCGGGTCCATCTGTGGAACTGTGGAACTCAGAAACTGGATCACTCAGAAACTGGACCCTCACTTGCAACAGAAACTGGATCACCCAGACGCTCCGTGAAACACGCCCTTGCCTGGTCCCTCAAAGTCCTATAGAGATTGGTCCGACCCCTCGACCCCTGACCCGTTCACTTACACTCGGGGCCGTGTCGAGTGTCCCGTCGACGGGCAGGTCTCGAGGTTTCACCGTCACCCAGGTCTAGATGATCGGTTGAACCGGGCTTTTCAACGGATGATCATGGAACGGATGATCAGACAGCGAGCGGAAACGGCCCGGTCCACGGAGAACCCTTCGTCAGTGGGAGAAAGCTGTCCAACCCTTCTTCATTTGAGCCACGCTCGGAGGAGGACCAGTCACCGCTGGTTCCGGAGGCCAAACTGTTCCATGAGTGCATGAGGCATAACCTGCCCTGATGCCGTGCTGCGCCAGCTGGTTTAGACCGTCTTGTAGGCCGACAAGATCGAAACAGACCTCAGAGTACTAGAGCTCATATGTTTGACGATGGGATGGATGTGCAGCGGAGTGCAGCGTGCATGTTGGCAATGCAACAGGGCTTTAATTTTAACAGTCGAAATGCATCTTCTGGATTCTGGAGCAATGGATTTCAAGCTTAACATGAAGGTCAAGCTGCAAAGGAACACGGGTGGTACACTTGGAATTCCTAGACGTGGACAGCATGCACGTCCTCCCTTTATCGTGGCACATCCTTTTAGGGTGAACATTTCAGCGCCATGGCGTCAGACACTGCGAAGGGACAGCTGGGGCAGCGTGGCACGAGACGGTCTTGGGGCCCTTGGGGTGTTGGAAGGTCTTCTCAAACCGGGACGATCAGGTGGTTCACCTGCAAGTCACTGTTTTGTAGAGTGGTTTCCCTGCTGAAATGGAACGGTTTGGGACTCTCTCTCTCTCTCTATCCCCTTTCAATGGGTTCATGCACCGGTGACTGACTCCTTGCTGTCAGACCGTCTTCTTCCGAGGGAGTTGGAAGGCTTCGACTGGTGAGTGAAGGCCGTCATGTAGATTTACATTCTGTATAGGGATCCACTGCCATCTTGAGATGGACCCTCCATGCTGTAAACATGTCTCCCTTGACCTTCTGAGAGGGTACGGTATGTGGAGCCATATAGATTGGCCTGCGACTGAGTGCTACTAAACGTGGAGGCTATTTTAATTGAGGCCATCTATGATAGCTTATATAATGGCATTCAATGAACATCCTTGGTTGCTTTTCTTCAGCCAAGGCAGAATGGCTCGAGCTTCACCCTTCGACCCAGGCATCACCCGGCGAAGCCGCGGCGCAGTGCTGTTACTGGATGATCACTCCTCCGAATGGGTTGTTATTGTTATATTAATAGGCGTACCCTAGCCTTCAAATCAAAAGGATTTGTTTGATCTGATTCTGTAAGCATAAAATCCCTAGTAAAACAATCCCAGACACTCCATGTCTGTCATACCTACATTGACCTCTCCAACCACCCCAATGTAGGAAAATATACCATACATGGAGTGTTTGGGAATGGTTGTTTGGTAAAGGCCATTAAATTACAACGTTTTGTTGAATTCGAGGGCGTTTTTGGAGGTGGACGACGAACTAAGACCGATGGGCTGCCAGCCATGGCTGGCAGTTTTCCCGATGGCCCCCAAGACTTGAACACTTCACACGTCGTCGTCTCTCATCGTTTGCGGTGCTGACGACAGAGCGATCTTCCAGCAGATTGGGGCAGAGGATTTGGCCGTATGAAGCCCGGTTCTTTCGGGGAGATTATATTTCTTGGCATCGAAAAGAGCGGTCGGGTGGCTTGGGCGAGGTGAGCTATGAGGATCGAAAAGGATCGAACATGTTCAAAACACTTCTCTTCCCTGTTTTTGTCTGAATTGCTCTCTCTCTCTCTCTCCGCTCTCTCTACCTCTTCCTTTGCTTTCCGCATGGCCTGGCCCACATTCTTCGGCTCTCCGCGAGGCTCACAGGCATGCTGCGCGCCCGGTTATACCCGGCCGATGCCGTGCATTTCGATATGGATTTGGAGGAGATCCGTCGATACAAGGTGCGACCGTTGTTTGCAGCGACCGTCGTTTGCACCATGTATGACCAAATGTTCCAAAGTCTCATCTTTGGGGAACACCCAAAACATGGTTTTTGCCTCCATGACCTTGTTTTTCTGGGTTGCAAGATAAACACCACTTTTTTCAAGGTAGAGAGTGCTGATGGGAGGGTGTGAAAATGGAGCCGATGGGTGGGTTTTACGGTGTTGTACAAACGATTTTTTTAAAAAACCGTGACAATGGCTGTGAAATGGATGTGTTTTCAGATGTTTTTAGGCTTGACAAAAACACCTTTAAACTAACCGTTGAAGAGATGCATTGAACAGCTTCGCTTCATTTTGCTTCGCCATCAAGACTTGGGGGAAGGGAGTGCAAGACAGGTCATAGAAGCCATGCTGGGTTTGGTCTTGCGTCTTGAAAGACCCATGACACTGGTCTCATCATTTTCGGATGGATGTTGGCTTCCTTTTGGGCACTGATCAGTTTTGTCTCCTGGGCCCCCAACTGCTCTCCTTTTGCCAGTTCTGGAGATCTCAATATCACTGCAGGCCCTACAGGATAAGCCCCCAAATAGTACCCGACACTGCCGGACGAAGATCACCGTGCAAGGCCTTCGAAGGACAAAAGGGTAAGAACGGCGAGACCAAGATCACAGCAAAGGACGGCTTTTGCATGCAGAAGTACCCTGGCATTGAGAAGGTGGTTAGGGTGAGTGCCAGGGGGGTTTAACCACCTTCTGAGGATATGGTTGGAGCTCTAGGGTGAGGTCGTACTTCCTCAGGTTTATGACTAGACCATGGCACCGGGGGGCCCCGTTCGTCCCGAAACGAAACGAAACGAAGGTACGACGATGTAGAGCCCCTTTGAGGAAGGGGTTCCCTGGTTTGGGCGCGCCCTTTGGGCCTTCAAACTCTCTACACCTGAGGTGCTTGGACACACACCCAGACCATCTATGGCACAATTGGACTCACAATTGGTTTACATTAACTCCCTGTTTCAACCACTCCAAGGATCTCCAATGTAGGTGAATATGGAGTGGATAAGAGAATATAGTACGTGGATTGAGAGTAGATGGCACAGACTGTCTCAGACCCGGTGGTTTATATGAACCCCCATGTAAAGGACATCGGTTTCGGTCTGTGCCATCTACTTGGAAACCACTGTATATGGTGATACATTGCATTTCAAGAGGTTTCAGACCACAGGACCGGGGGCCCAGACGTGCCCTACCAAACCACTGACAGTAAAACGTCGTCGTACGTCCAGTCTGACAGTAAAACATATATGTAAAACCTATGTTGTTTATTGTTTTTGACTCCTAAGTATAGTGTTTATATATATATATACAGTATATAATATCTCCACGTCCAGTCAAATGAGCTTCTGATACTTGTAGGGACTGTAAGGCTTTGGGTACCGTCCATCGGATGTTCCTCCGATTCTGAGGTTCGTGCGGCCGGATGGGCTGGCGGGAGACAAGCACGATGCGCGACAGTAGCCCGGATGTACGGTGCACGTTCCGAACGATGTGGCTGGTGAGGTGTGATTTTGCCGAACCCTAGGGCTCCAGCACCTCCAGTCGTGCCTCCTCAGGTTCGGTATGACTGGACCCGACAATGGCACCCACCTCAGTCCCACCTTCTCAGAAGGTACGACTGGAGCCCTAGGGGAACTGGATGAATCGTGATGAACCCTTTTCTCGGGAAGATGTGTGATTCCTTCTCCCTATAGTTTCTAGTATGTGTGCAAATCCAAGTGTTGGAGAGGGGGCTCGGAGGGAGGGGCCATCCCTCAAATGGGTTGGGTGAACAGGACCCTGTGGAACGGAGGAAGGAAGCAGGTCCTGCTCTTGGATGTCCAGGTGGCATGAACTTCCATAAGCCTCCAGTCGTACCTTCTGAGAAGGTAGGACTGGGGTGGGTCTGGAGGTTCCAAATACCTTCTGAGCAGGTACGACAGGAGGTGTAGGGCTTTGAAAAAAGGATGGCATGAAACTCGAAAAGCTGTGGTGTCTCCAGTGTCTCCAGTGTCCGGCTCATGAAAGCATTGGGAAGTCTTTCAGTCTATTCCAGATGATCGCCCTATTTTGAAGGCTCATTGTAATACTGTATAACTTGTGTGGATCGTTGACTGGGCCTTTAAAACGGGGGTGTTTTTTTCTGAACTGTTCGCAGCTCTCACACGCATGCGAATGGCGTTTCGGGGTGTCTTGTCTATGACTGTCCAATGCCATTGCGTGGATGGTTGTCGATCAACCACTCAGATGCAGCACAATCCGCACGATCCGCTCGTCGGTCTCGGTTTTGCGGTTGCCGACGTGACCGACCAACGAGTCAACGAGTCAAGCTGGGCACGTTGACCGAGCCTAGGCTCAGGCGCCTCATTCGCCGGCTCACCGGTTGTTGTTCCAAAGAGCAAGTGGGATGAGCCTATATACCCTAGGGCTCCACCTCCTGAGGTTCGGTGGTTGGGGTGGGTGCCAGGGGGGTCTAACCACCTTCTGAGGATATGGTTGGAGCCCTAGGGATACATAGATCCCTCTTGAACCCCCTATATCATCTTATGTCATGCATGAAATGTTTGGGTGTTGCTGAAAGCTTCTGCCGAAACAGTGATGAACCATTCTCACTCAGACTCAAGCGAGGTATCTGGGGAAGTCTGTTGGAACAACTGCCGTTCCGCTGCTTGAGGTTCTCAAACATGTTAGATCTCGATGTTGCCCGCTTTTCTCTCCCCAACACTGTAGGGACAAAAGACCTGGTGTCACATCAGACTAGCCGACTAGCTGTCATAGCAATGGAGTGAAATATCAGTGATCCACCCTAGGGCTCCTGGCCCACCTCCTGAGGTTCGATGGTTTGGGTGGACTTGGGGGGTCCAACCACCGAACCTGAGGATGTGGTTGGAGCCCTAGGGCCACTTCATGTACAGAACGTGGAATTCCTCGTTCTCGACTGGATTCTCCTGCCTTCTCCTGTGCCTTCTCGCGACGAGGTACTTCAACTCCTTCTTGAACCAATGTGCCAAGGTTGCAGGAGGGCGCCGATCGACCTTGGGACGTTCAGAACTGTGTCTCCGTGCGCCGGATTCCATATACCAGGACCCTCCGAGAGGCTTCTACAAACAGCCTCTTAAGCAAAGTTACTACTAGAGACCTCTTAAATTTTAGGTCTGAGATTTCCTGAATCTTTGAGGTTTGAAAACAGATCCACCCTGGAAGTTCTGAGGTCCCATAACAGAGCTCGCGTGCCTGGCGAGTGGGCTCGAGGGGTGGTGGTGAAGATTTGAGACATGGTCTCCACGTCTTACATGATCAGGGTATATCCTGCTACGAACCGGCTCCCAAAATAGAGACAGCAAAACAAATCGATCAATTTTGGATTTGACTTCCTTCCTAGCTTGGACTGCCATGGGGAAGCAGCCAAGAGCTTTTACAAGTGCAGCTCAGACACTTGGTGCAAATGATGAGGGATACTCCACTAAGAGTTTGATTACCAGGTTGCTCCCTCATCGATTAAATCTAAGGACCTTGGCAAAGGCATTGATAAAAAGGGTGGATCCAGAAGAGGTTAAGAAGAAGAACGAGTTATGCCCTGGTGGTGATATCCGTGTAAAAGGAAATCAATGGGTGAGAGCAGCCTGGCGCGACTGTGGCCTGGATCGTGTTTGCAGGGAAGGTCAAGTCAGGGAGGCCATCAAAAAATTGATCGCCAAAAGGAAACTTCGTTTCAATCTTAGTCATTATTGAATTGAGAATAGGTGCATTCATGTAGGCTCTGTCATTCCTATTATGTTGTGATGAGGTTTCGGAAAGGATGATGATGAGTTGGAACTTTGGATTATAGAACAGGTCCCTTACAGCATTACAGTACACGTGTGTTCTTTGCTCTTGGCATGGTAGTGCTAAGGCTTCCCACAGATCTAAGGCTGTTCGATGCCATCAAGTAATGTTGCAGCACCAAAGGCAGAAACGTTCTGGCAATCCTTTTATCTCACCGGAGTCAAAGGCCAAAACAAAGACTGAGAAGCTTTACTGAGTTGCAGGTTTGGGTTGTGGTTTTGGGGTCTTTGATGACACTGTTTGTCATCTGGCCATCCCAGGAAAAGCTCATCCCATCAATCAATCGATGACGTGGACACCTTGCCGACGGATATGATGACAGATATGATCCCAGCATTCAATTTTGAGACCAGGTTCCTTGGAAGAAGCTTTTGAACAGGAAAACAACTAACAAACAGAACCTGACGTACTCAGGAAGGCTGGCACGAATGATCATGATGCAAACACTGTACCTGTACCTGAAGTGATACTTTTGGTGTGCTTTCTATTTTTGGCGTTTGCTTTTCTATTTATGACTTTAAGGGGTTGGAGGTTACCAGGTTGCCTTTTTTGGCTGGGGGGGGGCATCTCTGTTCTTTTTTCACCGATTCCCCATCTCTGCCTGGTCCACCTTTTTTCGTGAATGCATTCCCTCCGAACCTGAATCTCCTGGCTCAATTTGCAATGATAAGGAACATGAAAGGGCTGAAGAAAGTGAAGATGAAGTTGAACGGAAGGCTGGGGAAGAAGAGGTGCATCAGGATGGTGGCAAAAGTGGAGAAGAAGCAACAGATGGTGAGGAGGAAAGCAACAATGCAGAAGATGGTGAGGAGGAAAGCAACAGTGGAGAAGAAGCAGAAGATGGTGAGGCGGAAAGCAACAATGGAGAAGAATCACCGGAGAACTACAATGCAAAGATTGAAGATGAGGAGGAAAAGAGAGGAGCCAATGAGAACCAGCCAGGTGAGGTTCCATCAGGGCAAGGTCCTGGGGAGGCAAGTGCGTCAGGATCTGAGGCTTCAAGTGAGGAATATGAAAAAGAAGGAGACGAAGGAGTGGCAGCGAAAGCTCAGGAGGCAAGTGATGATGACGATGAAGAAAGCCGAGAAAGCTCGGATGAAGGAGCAAGCAACAAAGGAACACAGGATTTGGGCGATGATGACGAGGGAGATGGAGAAGTGGAGTACACACATGCAGCCATGGAAGAAGTTAACCTGTCTGTCCGTGAAGGTGAAGAGTCGCTGCATGAAGACAAAGAGTGCAGGACAAGAAATGCTGACGTAGATCCAGGAGATGAAAATGGAGAAGAAACAGAGGACGACTGCAGTGCAAAGGATGAAGATGATGAGGAAGAGGGACAGCACAAGAAGGAAACCGATGACCAAAGACAGGATGAAGAGGATCCAGGTGAGAAAAGTGCTGAGGTGGTGGAGGACAAAGGATCTGAGGATTCAAATGATGAAACTGAAGCATCAGGAGATGAGAGGGGGGCATGTGAATCTCAGGATGCAGCAAATGAGTTGGTGGAAGCGTCGCCAAGGACTCCTCGGGAGGTGGATCTCATGAATGAAATTGAAGAGCTAAGACAATGGATTGAGGAGCAGGAAGCCAGAAAGAGGGAGAGAAGGGCACTCGTGGAGACTGCCAACTCTGTGGCTGAACTCGCAGAAGGAAGTTCAACATCCAAACACGTGGAGGAGGCAGAGGAAGAGAACATGACAACAGATCCAGCTGACCAGGAGGAGGACGATGATGATGATGACGATGAGATGCAGGAGAAGCCACAACCCAAACCTAGACCAAGTCAAATGTTGAATGGGGTGAATCCGCAGAATTCGGATGAGGTGGAAGTGGACACCCCTGAATTTGATGTGGGAGAAACTGACTTGGAAGGTGTAGAAGATGAAGATGATTCAAACGGGGGTGGAGATGAGGGGAGGAATGACCATGAGAGTGGAGAGGAAGAGGAGGGAGAAGATGATCACACAGATCCTGATCCAGATCCCGGTAGATCAGGAGATGAAGGTGAGCCCCAGTCTGACCAGGATGAACAAGAGATGACTGCTGGCAAAGAAGAGACACATGAATTAGAAGCTGGAACATCCCCACCGCACGACCAAAGCAAACCAAAGGAGGTTGAGGAAGGTGAGAAGAAGGACGAAGAAGAGGAAGAAGAGGGGTACAAAGCTGATGTATCAGAGGCAGAAGATGCAAGTGAGCAGGAAAAGGAAAATGAAGAAGAACATGTTGCGCACAAGAAGAGTGCCAAGAGTGAGTGTGAGCGTGTGGAAAAGTCTGGGGGGACTTCTTGCAAAGAAGTGAAAGAAGAATCTGAAAATGCACAGGTAGAACAGGATGATGACAATGAAAAACAATCCAGCTGTGGTGTGTCCAGCTCGTCGTCCAGCAGCACTAGTGTCAGCATCAGTGAGGATGAAAGTTCAAACGAAAGCAGTGCAAATGAGGCTGATGATGATGGCAAGAAAAAGACCAGTGATCATGAGGGTGATGATGCTGGCAAAAGTGAGGCTGGTAGATTTCATATCCGTCGGCAGTACCCGAAGACCAACATCAAGAGATGGACTAGAACAAGATTCTCCACCCCTTTCATAGCTTCAGTTCGCAGAATGCGAAGGATGCGACAAACCACGATCCCTGAGTATATATCAGTGGCCTAATTATGCCCAACACGTTTTGTTTTTTTGCCTACAGTATTTATGTGCTTCGATATGTTTTGTGGATGTGCAGCAGCTTTGTTGCACAAGTCTGCACAGCCATTTATGCACGCAGGTCCCACGTCAAAAGTCAAAGGATCTCGAGCAATCTTTGGATGATGCCATGGAAGCACCGCAACATAAGGAGAAGCGGAAAGCTCCACCAGATCCCCCGTTGAGACGGGTCCGCCAAAAGAGCAACTTGCTTTCCAACATTTGCAACCTTTTAACTTTAACCTTTGATGCTTGATCTTAGACTACCTGTGGGGTTGTGGGGTCGTACATGTATCTCCTTTGGCCACCTGCCCTGACCGTCATCTCCTGTGATCACAGGTTCACAATGCCAAGCCTCTGCCACCAGCAAGCCCGACGTGAAGGAGGAAGAGGCCTGCAATATCTGGGGGAAAAAACATGTTTCTTGATCATGTTTGATTTCTTGTCCTACTGAGCACAAAATGGGTGTCCTCCTCCAACTCCAAAGACATTCTTAGCTCATGTTCATTGACTTTTTTGCAGGATCTAAGCACAAAGGTCCAAAAGAAAAAGAAGGGTGTGGAGAAGAAAAGCTTGCTGGAGACGGTGGTGATTGAGGACTCCATGGTCCTATGTGGGGCTCGCTTCAAGTTTAGAATTGCGAAGGTGCAACAAGAGGCCTTGAACAGTGCAAGTGGACATCTCCCACAGCCCTCGAGACAACTTGAGTTGGTAAGCCAAAAGAGACAAAAGAAAACCCGTGGTCGTGGGCACCCTGCTTGCACTCCCTTCCTTATTTTGGAATGTAACTTAGTCCTTTGCTCCCACTGATTGAGATTTTAATCATTTGATAAGATGGTAACACAATGGTACATCATCTAAGGCAGTATGAGCTTATCGAAAAGCTTGTGGTGCAGGACTGGAAGGTGGAGATTCGAGAAAGGCTAGAAGGTGCACACAAGGGGGACCTATACAATGTGTTCGTGGATGCTGACAACAAGCCATTCTATACCCTGAAGCATGGCTGCAATGAGTCTGAATCAGAAAGCAATTTGTTTGCGCACTTGCTGTTTTGTGGTTACCCTCAAAACCGTGCAAAGGAAAGCTGCCAAAGAAAAAGGATTCAATGATCTTCAGGGAAAGTTGAAGGAAGCGAGGAATCGGTTTCTTGGCAGTGTTGTTGCTACCCTCGTGAATCCTTAAAACACTTGTTCGGAAACACTTGTTCGACAGTATCCCAGATTGATCTAAGGTTGAAAGCTGCGGGGAAAGTGTCTAAGGACGAGAAGGGCGCTAAGGCTAAGGTGAAATCTGAGCCTTCGGAGTCAAGGAAGGGGAAGGTCAAGAAGGGACCCAAAGCGAAGTAATATGATACATGTTTGAAACGACACATTTGTCTTGAAATGGAGCTGTTGCTTTCGGAGCCGCCTTGGGGGTTACTGGTGAAAAGCCAGTGCTGGTTGTCCACGCAACCAGTGATTCTTTTGTCAGCAATTAGATGGCCACTGTTGTGCGTTTGGTTCCGATG